CAAGTCAAAGAATTTGCTGATAAATTAGGAAAGAAATTTGAATTAAAGAATTTGGGAGAAATAAAAATTTATCTTGGTGTAGAGATACAGAAAAATGAAAAAGGTGGTTATATTCTCAGTCAAAGGAGAAAAATTGAGCAGTTATTGAAGAAATATAATATGAAGGATTGCAATACTGCTCCCACACTCATGAGTGTGGATTTTTATAATAGTTTAAGTGCGGACAAAGGTGAAACCTGTGATCAAGAGATATATCACTCAGCAATAGGGAGTTTGTTATATCTATCACAGTGGTCCAGACCAGACATAGCTTGCGCAGTAAGCATTTTGAGTCGTTTTACTGCTGCACCTACAAAGTTACATTGGATGGGTGTAAAAAGGGTTTCAGATATTTAAAGGGAACTATAAATTTGGGTCTTCAAATACAGATTACTGAGGAATTGAAATTAAAGTGTTATGTCGATAGTGACTATGCAAATGACATAAACACAAGGAAATCAAATTCTGGGATTATAATATTGTTTGGAGGGACTCTGATTGGATGGAAGTCCAGAAAACAAACAACTGTTGCTATTTCAACAGCGGAAGCAGAGTTTATTGCTTTATCTGAATTGTGTTCTGAAGTTACATGGTATGTACAGTTGTTGCAAGATTTAAATATTAATGTAAAAGAATCTGTAAAGGTATTTGAAGACAATGCTGCCTGTATAAAAATGGCAACTGGTGACAGGGTGAAGAACAGAAGTAAACATGTAGACATTAAGTATTGTAATGTCAGGGAAGCTGTAAAAGGAAAATTGATTAGTTTACATCATTGTTCTTCTGAGGATAATTTGGCAGACATGATGACTAAACCATTGGGTAATGTTCACTATGGAAAATGTGTTAAGTCAATAGGTCTGATGTCTCTTCCTGTCATGAAGGGAGGAGTGTTGGAATATTCATGAACAGGAAGAGTCATGTGGTAACTCAGTCAGCCAATGTGAAGAAAGTGCTACTGAGTCTGTGCAAAAAGAGTATTGAGTTAGGAGCTGGATTTCCAGTCTCAAGGTTTATCTCTGGTCTGTCTCTTTAAGAAGTCTTCATTAAGCTATGTTGCTGTAAAGAAGAATGGTATTGTAAATATTTTTATATAAATATAAAGTTATTTGAATCAGCTAAATGCAGTCAACTGTGAGAGCTTCTGATTTATTTTTCACCAATAGAGAATTTAAAATTCTCTAACAAATTTGATTAAGAAACTTTACAAATTTCTGCTAAATTGGAAGATGGAAGAAGAACAAGTAAAAGAAAAAATGATAGTATGGGCAAAGAATTTTGGATGTTCTATAGATTTGGAAGATTGGCAAAAACTTTGGGATAAAAATATTAGACTTACTAAGGCAGCAACATGTAGAGAAAATTTATATAAGATGTTTTACAGATGGCCTATGACACCAGTTTGATTAGCGAAAATGTTTAAAAATGTATCGAATATTTGATGGAAATGTAAACAACTGCCAGGCACTTATTATCATGCCTGGTGGACATGCCCTAATGCAAAGAAATATTGGCTTAAGATTCATAGATGGTTGGAAAAGATAATAAAAATACAGATAGAATTTAATAAAGAATTGTTTTTGCTAGGAATAATAAGATCTGATTATGGTAAAGAGAATGATTATTTAATAATACATGTTTTAACAGCTGCAAGAATATTTGCCCAATTCTGGAAAAATGAAAATTTACCATCTGATCAAGCTATAATTACTAAAATTTTAGATTGTGAAGAAATGGATAGATTAACATTGGAGATTAAAGAGAAAGATGATTCAATTTATTTTAAAACTTGGGAAAAATTTTACCAATGGTTAGAGATATGTAAATGATGGGCTTTTAACTAAGTTTTAGATTTTAGGTCAATAATATTCTTATTTTTAGTGTGTTTAAATGATAATGTGATAATTATGATCATTTGAAAATGTACTAATGAAGATAATGATGATTAGATGAGATTTTAATAATTTTGTTTACCTATTTAAAGGAAGTCTATCAATTTTTAGTATGATGGTTACAGTTAACTTCATTGCATAATTGTTGACTACGATGTGAATTATGTTATTTAACACTTAGACCCGGACAGAAACTTATTAAAGTTTGTTAAATGAAATTATTGTTGGGGGTTGCCCCCATTATTGTATTTACCCCTACCCAAATTCCACATCCCTCCCTTTTCCCATACCCTTATTGATCCTATCCTTTTTTACCTATACAAAATTCAATAAAATATTTATTAAAAAAAATAAAATAAAACCTAGCCAGCCACTAAAATGAAAAATGGAGTGCCAAGCGATGTTTGAAAGATTGAAGAGACTTTTTTCTGCTGAACCAGTACTGAGGCACCCAGACATGGACGAGCCCTTCGTAATACAGGCAGATGCAAGTGATGTGGCAGTGGGGGCTGTACTATTACAAGAAAACGATGAAGGGGTATTGCAACCCTGTGCATATACATCTAAGAAACTCACCGAAATGGAACAGGGCTGGCCCGTGTGGGAGAAAGAGACATACGGGATATGTTGGTTATTACTCACATGGTGCCAGTTCCTGGAAAGCAATAAAATCCCTTTCCAGGTGTGGACAGACCACAAAAATTTGGAAGCCTTGAAAACACCCAGGAAGCTCAACCTCAAGCAAACCCGCTGGTCCCAGTATTTTCACCAATTCCACTTTATGCTCAAACATTTGCCGGGGGGGGGGAGAATTTCCTGGCAGATGCACTATCTTGCATGTCCCAATATAACAGCACGCGAGCCACTGACTCTAAACCGATGATGGTAGAATCACAACTGGCAGCACCAGTAACCACCAGAGCCCAAGCTAAATTAAAACCGCGGCTGGGTAGCCAAACCGGAATTGAATTCCAGAGAAGTTTGGAAACAGATGAATAGTTCCAGAAAAATAAACATGTGTGCACAATGAAAGACGGACTACCTTGGGTGGGGGAAAAGTTAAATATACCAACCACCCAAAGAGTCACATTCATGCAGCTTTGCCATGAAACAAAACCAGCAGGGCATTTTGGATTTGTAAAAACATTACACTTAACTAAACGGCAATTTTGGTGGCCATCCATGAAAAAGGATAGAAAGTTACGTGGCCAGCTGCCCAAAGTGTCCAACTGCCAAGAGGCTGCAAGGGACATTGCCCGGACTGTTACAAACAGTGGCAAATCCCTCAGCCCCCTGGAGGGAAATAGCCATGGATTTTATAGTGGAATTACCAGAAAGCAATGGGAATACTGTTGTCTGGACAGTTACAAACTTGTTTTCCAAACAGGTGACTTTATCCCTTGCCAAAAGATTCCCATCGCAAAAGCTTTAGCGAAATGTTTCATGGAGCATATTTACAGATTGCATGGGGCACCCCAACGCATCATATCTGATAGGGGAGTGCAATTTATGTCTGCAGTTTGGAAGGAATTTTTATCCCTCTTAGGGACCACTCAGGGACTGACATCTAGCCATCACCTGCAAGGGAATGGTCAATCGGAAAAATCAAACTCAGTACTTGAGCAATATTTAAGATGCTTTCTTAATTTCCAACAATCAGATTGGACCAACCTACTCCCTTTTGCAGAAGTGGCTTACAATAATGCAGTCCTCTCCAACACAGGTTACACTCCTTTTCAAACAGCTACCCGTCAAAGTTTTAACCCATGTCAGAACTAACCCCAAACGAACCGGCAATCCCATCACTGAAAGAATGGATGGAACAATTACAAAACACCTGGCCAATAGTTAGAAAAGCACTAGATGAAGCTAGGCAAGCATACAAAACACAAGCAGATAAAAAAAGGGTCGAACCTACACCATTCATTATAGGAGAAATGGTGTACTTATCTACAAAATACCTAAAATTCCTACAACCCTGTAAAAAACTTGGACTAAAATATATAGGGCCTTTTCTAATTAAAAGAATTATAAACCCAGTAACAGTAGAACTAGAACTACCCGAAAATCTTAGGCAAATACACCCAATTTTCCACTGCAGTTTGCTGAAAAGAGAACAACAGTCACCCTTGCGGCCAAAAATCCCTCCACCACCACCCCCAATCATGGTGGAAGGAGAACAACACTTTGAGATAAAGGAAATCCTAGACTCTAGGAGATATCATGGGACAACTCAATACCTAGTAGCATTGAAACACCTCCCCGCCTCACAAAACAAGTGGGTCCATAAACATCATGTCAGAGCCCCAAAGCTGTTAAAGAAGTTTCATACAGTGTATCCTAACAAGCCAAACTAACTTTTATACCTGTTTTTTTTTACAGGTGGATCTCTCTTATTTTTAAGGGGAGCAGGATGTCAGAGTCCAATTATATTTCATTTCTATCTACCTACTCTGATGAAAAATTAATTCTTACTCTATTCTGGATTCTGTCATACTAAGAAAGGGGAGGAGGGAAAGCATGGGGGGGGGTTATGACTCTCACTTCCTTCCCTAACTACAAAGTGATCGTTTGTGGATTCTCATTGAGAGAACTAACCATAACAATATGGCCATCGCCTTTCATCTTAGTTTCTCTGAAATTCTCCCCTTTGCCAGCAGTAAGGAAAAAGGGGTGGAAACTACGATGCCTGGGATCTGGGAAAAGAGGAGAGTGATCGTGCCAATGGAGCAGACTGACAGATTGAATTCTCCGGAAGAACTGTGGGGTGAGGGGCTGCTTGGGAATACTTTAAAACATTGAATGGTGGAAGAGCATTCCCCAGATTCTGTCTAGCATGCCTACAATCAGCTTCTTTTAATAAAGATCCCTGTAGGAAGAGACATTCCAAGAGTTCTGTTTTCTTAAGTTGTAAGATTGAGGTGGGTCCTTACAGCTGCCTCCCCATCTCCTTTTAACTTCAGACTCAGTACTTGGATCAGGAGAGCTGAATTTAAAAGAAGGAGATATTTCTCAAGCTGCGGCAATCAGCTACAGCACAGAAAGTAATGGATGTTACTTTCTTTGCAGGCAGCAACCTTACAAATGTCACTATGGGCATGAAGTAAAGGGACCACAGGATGGGCAGTAATTTGGAAAGGGATATCCCCCCCCCGGGATAGAAGAAAAAGACATTGCTTGGCTACAGTGAAAAGCCTTTTGTCCCAGTTAAGTGTAAATTAATAGTTATATGTTTTAAATGTATAATTCTATAAAATAAATTTCGGGAATCTAATCCATTGGTCAAAGAAAGGATAAGGATTGGAATATATCTTCCCAACATTTTTTCTCAATTAATTATGGGTAATTCTGTTTGAAAATACTTATACATTAGGGGAAATTTAAAAAAAAATAAAATAGCCAAATTCTTACTGAACATATGTGACAGTGATATGTTCAAAGTATAACTTTTTTTTATCTTTCTTGAGTGATCCTTGCTATTTCATATAAATTTGCATTTTCTTTGTTTATAATAGTATAAAATGAATCAACTAAAACTAGAAGAGATCCAAACTCTCTTCCAAATCTATTATTTTATACTCTATGTTCTAACATACAAGAAATTGTTAAGTTATAAAAAATATACTGAAATTGCAATTGGCAGGGTCCGTGTCGAAGAGAGATGGAAGAAACATTAAACAATCTGAAGATTCTGAATGTTTTAAGCCCAAGAGGATTGCATGTTCCAAACTGTGACAGGAAGGGATTTTATAAGAAAAAACAGGTGAGATGAACTATTTACTACTGTATTTCCATTTCTTCTTCTTGCACATGCAGATCAATTGCTGTGTAATCCATCAGTAAGTGACAACAAAAAATTCATGTTCATTTCCTGCTGTTTTAAATGTAAAATAAATTGGCAATAGATTAGAGCACCTTTTGGCTTTGGTCTAAAACAACATGTCAAATGTGGTTGTTTTGTTGTTTTTACTGACAGAATAACTTCCAAAATAGATCACAAATCAGCTGACCAAGTCCTAGATACCAGTGCCCTTCAGTTTAAAAAAGGCAGCAGCTCTCTGAAGAAAAAAAATAGCAAAAATGACTGAAAAAATATTGTCATCATCATATGACTATAGTAGATCAATGCTTTGAATTATAATAGCTGCCTGTGAGTGGCTAGAAAAATTGAGTTGGGTTATGTTACAAATGGCAACATCAGCAACTCCATGTATCATTCCTTTTTATTCTACAGAAGATCACTTCCAAAATCTCATTAAAATGACATGCAAGGAACATTTATTTCATAATAATACTGACTTTTCATCTGGACTTGCCTTTGGGGCTATGATGGTTCTCACAAATGTGAATTATTACAGCTTTTTGTGCCATTATTATACTCAGCGTGGTCTACCTCAGTGTAGCTGATTCAGTAGTGCCGATAAAGCGCCTTCAGTTAAACAATGTATTTTGCCATTCAGTTCATTCTCATTTGATTTTACAAGTATATGACCTTAATTGTTTTCTTCGAGAAAACTGAGAAACTCAGCAGTGTGGCTGGGAATTTTCACAGCTGGAATCCCAGAATATTTATACAACATAATGTTTAGAAAACTGATCTATTAATTAAATTAGAGATGTTGAATTTCCATGTCTTTGATTCAAAATGTTTCATTTTGAATAGCAGAAATTTTATTTGAATTGTCACATTAAGTTGAAAAATTGGAAAAAACTTTTATATGCAGACACCTAAACAAGTTAATGAATATTCAGTAGCACAAAGTGAATGGGAAAATGTTCAGATCAAAAAGTTATGAATGATAAATATACATTTAGAAAAACTACTAAAAAATCTCACTGGTAACAGAAGGATACTCTGAAAAGTAAATACAGAAAATCCCCAAGTTACGAATGTTCACTTATACTCATTCAAAATTATGCTCCCTAGTGCTTATGAGGAAGTCCCAAAATTATGAATATTGCAGCACCATGGCAGTCATTTGCCCTTACAAACAACTGCAGAGGCTCTGTAACATTCATCCTGGTCATTCCCTCCCTCCATGTGGGAGACCTTCTCCAGGTTACTGCCATCCATCTGAGGCTGACGCCTGGATTGAGCTGCCAGAGGACCATGGAAGTGTCCCCTGGCCTCAGATCCAGGTGGCAGCAGGAACTGTGGCAGAGAGGAGACAGATCTTTTCAAGGTGACTCCAGCGCGGCAGGAAGGGAGGGGGAAGCATGAAGTATCTTAGTGGGTCAGGGAAGCCTTGAGGGCCTGTTCCATCACTACCCTGAGATACCTCATGTTCACTTAATGAGCTGTGTGTCTCTTAACAAGGTAGGGATTGACCTCGTTCAAGGTACAAGATTCACTCCCATGAGTTTTCAAGTTATGAATGGAATGGGCAGGCTCTATTACACTCGTAACTTGAGGACTACCTATATTTTGATGCAAATCAAAATAAAGTAAAAACTGCTATGACTAATCCTGGTTCAGGCCTAAACTGGAGTTCTTTGATGACAATCCTTCTTCAGACATTTTTAGTAATTCCATTACTTTGTGCAATGTAGCAAATTTTTCTCTGCATATTCTTTCATGAAGAAGATTTTATCTCTTACAGGCCAAATTATCTTTGAAGTTAAAAACCAGCAGATAAGTTATACTACTTAGTTTGCAGGCTCATATGATCAAATATTTTTCTGTATACATAAAACTCCTTAACCATAACTTTTTAGAGAAAACATTAGAATGAAATGTCCCTGATGATTAATTTTATGGTATGGAGAAGGAACTTTCTTGTTTGTTTTAGGTATTTTTCTTTCTGGGGGGGGGGTTAATAATATGGTGGAGGATTTCTTTCATCTGATGACCAGATCAAAGTACTACACATTAGAGTGGGATATACAGATAAAAAAAATTTTTTTTAAAAAATCCCTGATTAATTTATAATAGATTAATGGAAATTTTGACTTCTAGTTGTCTAAAAACAAGAGAAATAAAGCTAGAATGAAAAAACAAAGCTTTGAGATGGGTGAAACAAGTATAAATGTTTATATTGAAGAAATATCTATTGCCCCAGAATAAGTTCCTATACTGAGAATTTCTTAATTTATCTCTTACTTTTTGATGAATTTTCAGGGTTTAGGTCTGTTCAGTCTATAATCTAATTCAAACTTTACCAATATGTAGGTCTATAGTTATGCTGAGATTCTAGGAATCATGAGCAGTTTCAGTATATGCCTCATCTATTGTTCCCAAGAAAGCAGAACTCTTGAAACAAGCATTGTTTCAAACAGGAACTTTTATTTGGAGTCAGTGAAAGAAGAAAGCCAAGGCAAGATCTAAAGAATTCCCATACAGAACACTACATTAAAATATCCCTTTTTAAACTCCTCCCTAGAGCCCAACTGTCCAGTTCATTTCCAATCAGTCCACAGGTGCAAAGTTGTTATGGGAACCAGAGCGATAAGAGACGGTTCCCAGGCATAGCCTTTACAACAGAGCAGAGATAAGGCAGATGGGCCCTGGCACATTGCTTCCCCTTCTTCACACCAAAAGGGATATATCAAAAACAGAGAGAATAAAGTAAAAGAAATATATCCACTATCCCTCTCCCAAACAAGTGAAACCTCCCCCTCCACTAGAATGGCAGAGCCCCTAAAAGAAGGAGAAAGCCACCTGGAGAATACACAAAATAATAAAATGGGAGAAAACAAAAGAAAAGATGTTAGTCAGGTTTGTCTGGATGAAGCGCATGAAACTATTTGAGCAACCTGGGAACTCTAACATGTTTTTTGTGAACCCATTCATTTTGGGATGCTGGGAGGTCTTTCCGGGCCTCTAAAAATTGAGCCATGCCATTATATTTACGGGAGTCTAGAATCTCCTTAATCTCAAAATGTTGCTCACCTTCTACCATGATGGGCATTGGTGCTGGGGGGAACTGCTGGCCATAAAGGTGAGGTTATTTCAGATTTTAACAGGCTGAAGTGGAATACAGGGTGAATTTGCCTCAGAGTTTTGGAGAGCTCCAATTCTACTGTAACTGGGTTTATGATACGTTTGATATTTTGGCCCTAGTTTCTTTGATGGCTCTAGGGACTACAAGAAACTAATGAACAGGTATACTTTGTCCCCTATGTGGAATGGTTTGGGTTCCATTCTCTTTTTGTCTGCTTGAGCTTTATAAGCTGCCCTGGCTTCAGCTAGTGCTTTTCTGACTACTGGTCAGGTATTTTGTAGCTGCTTAATCTATTCCTTAAGGGAAGGGATGGTGGGTTCCTCCTCTGGTAATTCAGGCATGGGATTGAATACTTGTCCTGTGTCTATTTGGAAAGGGGTAAAGCCAGTGCAGGAATGGACAGTATTGTTATATGCCACTTCCGCTAATGGCAGGAGGTTGGTTCAATTATCTTGCTGGTAGTTGATAAAACATTGCAAGTACTGCTCTAATACTGAGTTTGTTCATTCTGTTTCACCATTCGTTTGGGGATGATGACTAGAACTCAGGCCCTTTCTTTTATATCCTTTCTCTCTCCTTCTTTTATATCTTCTCTACTCTCTCCCCCTTCTTTTATATCTTCTCTTCCCTCCTTTTATATCCTTTCTCTCCACTTCTTTTATATCCTTTCTCTTCCCTCCTTTTATATCCTCTCTTTTCTGCTTCCTTCTTTTATATACTTTCTTTCCCCTCCTCCTTTTATATCATCTCCTCTCCCCCCCTTTCTCTTCAGTGCACCTCCAGCTGACTGCTGTCCTCAAGGCTGCACTTTCTTTCCCCTCCCATTGTCTTTTTTTCTCTCCCTCTCCTGCTAAAATCTCCTCTCTCTCCCTCACCTGCTTTTCTCTTCTGTGTGCACTGGAAGCACCTATCAGCTGGAGCTGCATGTGCTGATCCTAGGCTCTCAGTAGAACCAGGCAACACCTCACACAGCTCCAGTTGAATCTCTGCCTGAAGACTGTGTGGGATTACCTGCCACCCCCAAGGCTGCTGCCAATCAGCTGGAGCTGAATGCACTGATCCTGGGCTCTCAGCAGGACCCAGGCAACACCTCATGCAGTTCCAGCTGAATCTCTGTCTGCCACCCCCAAGGCTGCCTCCGCCAATCAACTGCAGCTGTATGCACAAATCCTGGGCTCTCAGCAGAACCCAGGCAACACCTCATGCAGCTCCAGTTGAATCTCCACCTAAAGACTGCATGGTCTACATGCAGCAGAACCCAGGCAACACCTCACACAACTCTAGCTGACTTTACCCTAACCCTAACCCTAACCTCACCCACTTTTATACTTTATTTTTTACATTTTTTACAGTGCTTTTTCAACCCGTCATACATGTACCACCTACCAGGTGCCAACATACCACCAGTGGTACGCATAGCACTGGTTGAAAAGTCCTGCCCTAAGGTTCCAAAAAGGTAGAAAACGCAAAACAGGTAAGATGTTTTATAGGAAAGTTTCGCCCCTTCATATTCATTGAGAATCTTTTCCTTTCTTTCTTTCTTTCTGGATTTTATTTATCATTTTTTGTCTCTTAAGTTCTTGCAGTTCTCTTAACAGAATCTATTTTGTCAAATCTTTTTTCTTGCCCTCAAACTTATTTTGTAATCTTAGGATATAGGTTACCTTTTCCATGTCTTTTCCTGTAAGTTTTTTCCATCTAAGTCATACTTTCTTCTATTGTTAAGTTCCATCTTGAAATCTTTCTTCTCTGTCTAGTATTCAGTTGTCTGTTTTTTCTGCTCACTGTTTTTATTTTCTGAGAATTTTTGTGTTGCAAAGTTAAATTGGAGATGTGTTCATTTATATTTTTAAAGTTATTTTTAATTTCCTCGTGATTTGAGATCATTGTTGTTTGGATTAGTTGTAACATAGCATAGATCTCCTTCGGGAAAGTATTTGTTTTTTCTTGGTATATTCTTTCTGCAGAGCTCTGGTTTTCCATGATAGCTAAAAATCAGGGTTTTCCTTTCTCTGCGGACAGCTTTAGAGTAACAGTTGAGTTGGTATTTGTAATCCAGAAAGGTCAATTCTTGTTTTAGAGTTTATAATTCTCATTTTGTAAATAGTTCAAAATATTTTCTTTCTTTTTTTTTACAAATTTTATTTATAATACAGTTAAAAACAAACAAACATTGGATTTGATGTGACATTCCAGTATATACATTCTTATCAGATTATTCCACTTTTTACAATCAATTCTTCATCTCTACATATACATCTAAGTTTTATATACAATACTTGTTCTAAAACAACATATATTTCTATCTTAACATTCATCTTTAATCCTGACTGTCCTCTTCAAATTCCTCCAGTGGTTAAATTTATCCCAGGTTTCATAATAAACTGATCCACATTTATCTTTTAATATCATTGTGAGCCTGTCCATTTCCGCACATGCTAATATTTTATGTATTAACTCTTCCTCTGTGGGAATTTCCTTGCTCTTCCATTTTTGCGCTAAAGCAAGCCTAGCTGCAGTCAGGATGTGTAGCAGCAGGTAGATTGTTCCCTTGTCATATTTTTCTGTCATAATTCCCAACAAGAAGAGTTCAGGTTTTAACTCTAAGTCCAGTGTTAGTATATCCCTCAACCAGTTTCGTGTCCTGTTCCAATACTCACGGATCTTTGGGCATTCCCATCACATATGGTAGTATGAACCTAATGCTGTTTTACATTTCCAGCATAGGGGTGAAATGTTTGAACCCATTTTGGCTAACCTTACGGGTGGGAAATGCCATCTATAAAACATCTTGTAAAGATTTTCCTTATATGAGGTAGCTAAAGTGAGTTTCCTATTCCTTTCCCACAGTTCTTGCTAAATATGTAGGTTGATACTAAAACCAAAATCCCTACTCCAAATTAACATGGTCTCCTTAACCTGTTCTTTCTTTTTTGTCACAGCTGTTCTCTGACATTGAAGGTCACCAAAACCAAGTTATCTTTTCCTGGGCTTTGCCAGTCCCTGTAATAAAGCAACTACTGTTGTATATTTTCATCCACCATTAGATGTCAGCACCAATCAGTAATAGACAACTGTTTACTTCTATTTTCATGATATAAAAGGAAAATCTTAACAGATTCCACGGATTTCAAACTTGTCCAAATTAAGTCTTATATTCTTTTCATTTCAATATATTTCTGTTTATACAGAAAGGTTTAATTCGCCGCTTCTGTCTGCAAGGGGATGGGACAAAAGTCCTCCTCCTTCTCACTTTTGGAGGCTTTTTGCTTCTTGGGGTTTTTCTTCTTCAATTTCCAAATAGGAGAGAGAAAATCATTGTTCTTACCCGCTTCCAAACACATTTATAGTCAGCTTAGTGACTATAAGTAGTGCTTTTGGGCTTTGGCTGCTTGTAGCTTGGGCTAGACTCTGAAGTTAAGCTAGCCTTTCTCCTGCTGGTTTCTGGAGGGTTTTTCCTAAGCTGATGGGATTCACTGCCATCTCTCTGCAATTGGCGGGACTTCCTTCCTTCTTTGTTGCCTCTGTGGAGCAACTTCAGGCCCCTTTAGCAGGCAGAAATTGGCTGTGGGGTGCGGAGCTCCGCAATCCATTGGCTGTTGCTCTACTGCACAAAACTGGAAGCTCCCTGCTTTTAAGATTATGGAAAGATTTTTTGATTCAGTGAAGCATATTGATCAGGAAAGATGTTTGGCCAAAAAAAGAAAATGCTAAAGTGAGAATTAAGAAATTAGATGATGGGATTTACCAGAAGGAATATTTAAAAATTAAACATCTGTCTGAATATGGTTAAAGAAATAGAAAGATTTTGGATATAAATGAAGATTAGTTTAAGAGGGATAAACCCCTCAGGTAATCTAGTATTTTTCTTTCTTTTTTCCTTTGTGTTTTGTTTTTTGACATGAGAAATATAAAAATATTGGGATGGTTTATGTAAAAGAAATGTTTCCTTTGGTTTTTTTTAAATATGAGAAATGTAAAAGTATTGGGATGGCTTATATGAGAAAAAAGACTTAAATACTTAAAGTGTAACTAATTTTCAGAAAATCTTAACCAGTAAGAATGCTTTGAATATTGTGGGGAAAACAAATTTAAATAAGAATTCTGTAAACAGGCTTTATGACTAGGCAATTAGAAAAGAAGCTTTATATTGATGTAGTTATTATTTGCAGAAACATGAGAAAAATGTCTATATTTAATTGTCATTTATTCAAATAAGAACTGAATTAATTTAAGGTTGGCAAAAGAGAATATTATTGGAAGAAGAGAAAATCAAGCAAAGCCATTATATGGACTATAGAATTAGAGAAATTAATTGTTATTGATCATTTTTAAATACTAACCCAGCAGCATGGTGATTATGTTAAAAATCAATAGAACATATTTTTTTTTAAAAAAGGTCCAAAAAGACCCTCCCTAAATTGTAGGTGGACTCCCCTGTCCAAAATTATATGTTATGGGGCACCATGCAAGTGATAAATATGCTGCAGGAATAGTTTTGCTAGAATGTTGGTGATCGGGATCTTCTGACAATGGATGAAATGGACCTGCTTGAAAAACAGGTCAGTCACCACCCAAATAACGGTGTTAATTATACCCAAATTTTGGGCAATTCCACCATAAAGTCCATAGAGATCTCTCTCCAGGGTGCTGAAGGGCTTGCAACTGGCTACAACAGGCCAGGCATTTTCCTTTGCCTTTGCTTTGCTGCCGTGCAGGTGGGACAGCTGGCCACATAACTCTCTACGTCCTTTCTGATGGAGGGCCACCAAAACTATCTCTTCAGTAGGTGTGGGGTTTTTACAAATCCAAAATGCCCAGCCGTCTTTGAATCATGGCAGGTTTGTATAACCTTTAGTCTCTGGATAGCTGGGTTGTATAGCTTATCTCCTACCCATGCCAGTCCCTCCCGCATGGAGTAGAGGTTTTTGTGACTGAGGAACCAGTCATCCTTCTCTAAGGCTTGTTTAAACTTTGATTAGCAGTGGTGTCCAATGACGGGGTGCTTACCGGTGTGGTTAACTATTACTCAGGGAGCATAGATTTAACTACTTCTGTTTTTACACTATTGTATTATGGCAATCTTGACACAGTATCTGCTAAAAAGTTCCTTCCTCCTAGCAAATAGCAGAGGATAAATTGAAGTGTTGGAAGTGTTGGGCCCACCGTGCCTGCTTAGGGGACAACTTCATCGGAGTTTTCAGCACTTCCAGATTTTTATGGTCAGTCCAAACCTGGAAAGGGGTTTTACTCCCTTCTGAGAAATGTCCTCATGTGAGAAGGGTCCATCTCACAGCATAAGCCTCCTTTTCCTACACTGCCCAACATTGTTCTGTCTTGGAGGTGTAAGCACAGGGCTATAGTTACCCCTTTTCATTTTCTTGGAATAGGACTGCACCTACAGCCACATCACTAGCATCAGCCTGAATGACAAATCATTTCTCTGAGTCTGGGTGTCTCAACACCAGCTCCATGGAGAAAAGCCTCTTTAGTTTTTTGAATGTGGCTTGACATTCCATGGTCCATTTTAATGGCTGATTGGGCTTCAGTTTATACCCTGCCCCTTTGGTCTTCAGCAAGTTTCTGATGGGGAGGGCGATTTGTGCAAAAGGGGATAAATTGCCTATAGAAGTTGGTGAAGTCCAGGAAGCTCTGCAACTGTTTCCTGGTGTGCGGGGTTTCCCCTTCTAAAATGGCATGCATCTTTTCTGGATCCATTTCCAGCCCCTCATGCGAGATCTAGTAGCTTAGGTAGTCAATTTTCTCCTAGTGGAGTTTGTATTTGGAGAGTTTAGCATATAGCTTGGCTTCACAGAGCTTGTTTAAGACTGTTCTGACCAATTTCACGTGTTCAGCTTTCGTTTCGGTGTATATTAAAATATCATCCAGGTACACCTTCATATAGGTGCTCATTTAGCACCTCATTTATCAGCTGCATGAACTCAGCAGGGGCTCCCTGTAGTCTGAAGGGGAGGAGTTTAAATTGGAAGCAACCTAGGGGACAGTTGAAAGCAGTCCTCCACTTGTCTCCCTCTTTAATTCTAACCAGTCTCTCACAAGTCCAGTTTAGAAAATACTTTTCCCTTGGCAAGTGGGCTAGCATGACTTTCATAGCCCTATTCTTACTAATAGAGAAGAAGTGATTGTCAGAATCCAATTATACTTCATCTCCAGTTATCAATTATAGAAAACCCCATTTCTGCCCTCTCTGGATTCTGTCATAAAGAAAGAGAGGGGGGTGAACAAAGGGGCTTTATGGCCCTCACTTCCTTCAGTACAACTTCAAAGGGTTTGAATGTGGATAGCACCAAAAGGCCTCATCGTAACAAAGGAGGCTATTTACCTTTCATGTAGTTTATCTGAAGTCTCCATCCAGCCGGCAGAAAGGAAAAAAGGGATGGGATTGTGATGCCTGAAACTGTCACTGGAAGAGGGGGGTGACTGGGTGGGACTACTGAGGAACCCCTTAAAACC